TTAATGGAGTTGCATCTTATTTGGTTTCTCTTTCGGCACGCACTTACATTGATTGATTTTGGCAGACCTGTACTGTGCTCTTAGAAAACAATGGAATTTTCTGCAGATTAGAATTGCTGATTTCAAAAACGAGTTTGATATTTTTTTTGCGAGTATTTTAGATCTACTTTTCTACATCTAATGTATCATGCAGTGCAACCTCAATACCCTTCTCCAGAGAAACATTAGACTCGAAAACTATTATTAAAACCATTGGATCTGAAAGTGTGTTTGCAGCAGTGCAGAGCGTCCCTTATGTCGAGTATATAAAAGATATTTACAATTATAATTTTGCATGATCTTGAAGTACAAGTTAAAATGAAAAAAAGGATGAATTGAATCATAAATCGAGAATGAAAAATGCACTTTGTGCAAAGAGTCGATTGCATACAATGTATACAAGTTCAATTGAGTTTACTTATCTTACAGAATCATACAGGTGTTACATAAAGCATATGTTTGACAAAACATATCTATCTAAACATGGGTTCATCTTGGTTATGTTGCAAAGGGTGGTCTTTGGTTGAAAATAATAACATGGCGTCACAAAACATGTCGAAAATTCTCGCCTGACATTCGGAAGGTCTTGTACAATTAACCAGATATAAATATTGTGACATCTGTTTAGATGAGGTACTTAAAATCGCTAATTCCTGCTGATTTTGATCGCATCTGTTTTTTGAATAACATGGATTTTTACTGATAACGCTAATTTGCCTGATTAATGCCTTCATATGTCCAAATCAAGTTCAAGTGTAAATTCCGGTTACAGGTCATTAAACTGTATTTTGTCAGGTGATTAATTTGGCGAAATCTGAAACTATTTACTTCAGAAATTTAAGACTTATGTTGTGTAACTATTGTTAAAGTGTGAGTATACGAGTCTTTGGTGTAATAGATTACGCTCCATATAACAAATCCCCGCCCCGAATTGTTGTAAATGTGAAGGCATTGGATTTACGTCAATCAGACAGCAACCTAACGACATGAACAAAACATATACATCTACACTATAAGGCATTTGAATAAAGGAGATATGTAGTATACGTTAACGACACCAGTGGCGGGTTCATTTTTTTTGGGGGGGGGGAGGGGTCTAATAGGGCGTACGCCCCTTTTTTTTATTGGAAAATGTATTATTTTTTAGAATAAAATCGTCTAAATAAACAATTTTCATGCATTACGTCCCCTTTTTCAAAAATTCTGTAGACAGAAAAAAAACGAAGCAACACCTCCATTACCAATTAACGTCATTTCAAGTTTCCGTCTGTTCTCTTTAAAAAAAAGTTTTGTCAGTCTTTCCTCCATTTGTATTTTCTTTTTTTAGCCGTCTACATGCATGTCGTCAAGATTTTTGTATTTTGCGTCAGTCATCTTGCACCTCGTAAATCAAAATCAGAAAAGGGAGATAATTAGTGTTGTCACAAACATGACAGATATATAGATCGGGAATATAATTACAAGTAATTAATGTCTACATATAACTTGTCAACAGACAAACATGTGGGATTACCGTTGATATAATTATTGCCCCAAAATTACATGAACATGTACCAGTGTGCATATCTGTCTAATTTTCCCAGGTGCTATCTTGACATATAAAGCGTTTAAAAATATCATCGAAATTTCATTATTTGATTACAGATCATCGCTTTTATTATATTGGCCCATTATTTCACAAATAGCCTATTCGGTGGTTGTGTCTCGTCATATTTTTAATGTTTATCTTTTTCTGTAGAATATAATGTTGATGGCAAATATATGAAATCATTTGTGTAATTTATTGACAATTATTTAGACTTGGTGCTATTAAGAACTTGAAGAATTGTACAAACTCTCGTCTATTTGCATACTGTATCTTGACCTTAAGATGTCTTTTTATTTTTGTGGTGTGAGGGTTTCTGTCTTTTCCACGTACATCCATGTTTCCTTTTACCTTTAAGGCTATGTCTGCATTTTGCATTTTGCATTTGTTTTGCTTTGAAAACACACTTAAAAACATGCCAATTAACTTAAGATGTATTCATCTTAACAGCAAATCATTTCTGTTAAATTGTTTATGTGATTATGTATCCGAATTATATTTACAGTATATATATTTTTTTTTATTTGTATTTGACACATAATAAGACATTTAAAATATAATTTGAGTGAGAAAATCATCCGCTTTGACATTGAGCAAAATTAAAACCCTTTAAATTCCTTATTCCTTCAAACGCACACTTTCCAGAGTTCTTGATTTTGGAAAAGATTTGTAGAAGAATTGTGTGTTAGCTATAATAAAAGCTGGCATCAAGTGAACGCTGAACAAACAAAAACACAATGTTTGTCTAATCCAAAATACTATTCTGATGTTACATAAATTATGGCAAATCTTGATGCTAATCAAGTAATCAGTGGCAGTTAATCAGATAATCGTAAATTAATTCATATATTAAATTAAAACCCCGTGCTGGACCTTTATCCACAAGATACATGTAGCTTGTCCCAGTGATATGTGGGGACCAATTATCAGTCATGCAAACACAAGGGCAAATAATTAAAAAGTTTTCTTTAATCTCAAATGCACCCAAACTTCACGAATTTGTTAAACTGCAAAAAAGACATTATTTGTAGAGCGTCTTTCAATATAACACCTGTGTTGATGTTTACATTAATGTATAAAATAAGATAATATTTGCATTATTGTGAAAAGTGACAGAATGTAATCATAAATCATCAATTTTTAATATCCGTTTTATAGTTAGTTACAAGATAAGGGTAGCAGTTGCGTAACTACAACTTTTATGCGAAGATAGTTAATTTCATTCGAAGATAGGTTATACGCTTAACTCACGGAATAAAGAGAGATAACTTATATTTTATTTGGTTACTAAACAAAAAGCCACCAAAAATACCAAGAAAAACTAACTGATTGATATCTATTTGATAAACGCGGTATTCGCTTTTTTTTCTCAAATACCATCAAACGTTGTTTTCTGTCGTACTTACTAAACATTTTATAAGTTTGGAGACTGAACATTCGCTTAATTGGAAATCTTTTTCAGTCTTACATTATACTTTGTGGCCGAATATATGTATATATATTGATCATCAATAATATAATAAACTTCCAATGGTAATTTTAAACGCAGTATATATCAATGTTGTTAGTGACGATCCGTAATTTTGTTGTATTTCCGAACTTCTGTTCAAAAGTATACTCGTTTAAGATATTGAAAATGACCAGTCCTGATAATTAAGAATTGTGTAAATGTTTTTTGTGTAGAAAAATTGTGTTGTTTTTTGGTTACCATTTTGTTTGTTGCATCAAGGCGATTAATACATTCTTGAAACCACAATATTATAAAGAACGTTCACAGTAAAAAAAATATGGAAAATGTACATCGCTTTCAATAATACCATTGAAATTTCATTAACTAATCAACATAGCTAGTGTGTAATCATAAAAAGTCTTTCTCGGGGCCTTAAGGCAATATATTGGAAGAGTTTCTTCATTTCATAACTGATTATATAGTGATACAGATACAGCATATTTATAGATACTTTGCTGCTACACACGGATACACAGCAAACAGAAGTAAAAGCACACAAAGTTTGTTAACTAGTAAAATGTATAAGTTATTAGACCGATTAGTATTTCTCTTAACAACTTATCTCTGCTTTTTACTAGAAAGCATCACGAAATCCACAAAAAAAAAGTGTGAAACTAGTTGCTCCGGAAAGGTAACTGGAAGAAGGAACAAATGCAGTTATCGGTTGTAGCATGCACACAAACGGACGTTTTTGTAACACCGTCAGCTTGAGAGATAATTAGTTTGACGATGTTCTATGATGAATCAGACAGTTGCGACATTTTCCAGTTTGATTTTATGCTTGACCCGTTTATTATTAAACCATTTTACAGAAAAAGGAATTCTACTTAAGCTAGGGGTATTCTATATGTGTAAGAATATGTATTGGAAATTGCGCGAAATAAGACTATTGCTTCATCTATAGAACCCCGTCACATTCTGTATGTGCATGTCACAAGTAAGGGCCTGTAATTCAGTGGTTGTCGTTTGTTGCTATTTATGTCGTATTTGGTTTTCGTTTACTAATTGTTGTGTACATAAATCAGGCAGTTAGTTTTCTCGTTTGAATTGTTTTACATTTGTCATTTCGAGGCCTTTTTTAGCTTAATTTGCGGTGTGGGTTTTGGTCATTGCTAAAGGCTGTATGATGACCTATAGTTGCTTACTTCAACGTCATTAGGTATCTGGTAGACAGTTGTCTCATTTTGGCAATCATACCACATCTTTTTATTTTAAAACACTGGACATAAACTGTATTATATAAGACACGTCTCTCATGAAGATCTTGCCTAAAATATTTACTCCATTTCGGATTTCGTCTTTCGCAGTCATTTCACACTAGATATTAATAATTTTACAAAATGGTCATAGTTAAACAGACATCCCTTTCCTTTCCCACGTAAGCATCGGACTATATGTTGAGCGAAAAAGTAAATACCTATATCTCACAATATGTACTTTCTAGTTTGATAGGATTAATCATATTAATATATATCAACTTGGGATTGAGGAAATAATTTAGATATAAAGGCACTACAAAAATCGTTACATTCCGGTTTGTTTCTTATTAATAAAATGCATTTTATATTAAACTTTAGCGATGACAAAGCAAGAATTAAGAATCAAATTATGAAGTTTTATCAGTATTTTAATACTTGAAACTATAATAAACAATTTCTTTTGTTTACCTTTAAAATTCTACCTTGCTTGTTTGACAGGTGTCACAAGCTAAAATTACAACCAACATTACGATAGCTGTACATTTTTGATGCAATCTGTATGCTAAAGTGTCGATTTACGCACAATCTTTTAAGTAAAGTGTAAATTTACAAACTTATAAGTTGCACTTTGCAGTACCGATTGCTTAAATCTTGTGTGGGGGTTGAAATATGAAACATGAAATGAATTATAGTTCGTATAGTTTTATTCTCAACCTGTTTCTCAAATGTGCTCCCAGCTTAGTACAAGTACCTCCTAAATGGAACTTTCAATTATTTACAAATTAATCGTGATTCTTATTTAGTTGTTTAGGGAATTAGATTTCAAAATTTTCTTCTTAAGGGTAAGTCAATTTTAAATTACATATACTATGAAATTAGTTGAAATAGAATTGTCACCCATGTTTTTGTCCTTTTTGGGATAAATGGACAGTTGTTTACCGTCAAATGGCAATTATTATAAAAAAAAATAATGCATATTGAGGAAAAAAATATGTTAATGTGATATGCATATGAATTATGGTTGTGTACTATATATAGGCATCCTGAGTCTATATTCTTTTCTCGATGAAACAGTACGCATGAAGAAATGTCCCCTCATTCGTACACAGTCCTTGCTCCTACTCCTAAATACCCCTTGCTTTCAGCGGAGAAACAGTGAAGTATCTTTTTTATATATTTGTCACATATAGAGGAGACTATGTTTTCCGGTCTTGCGTATGAACGTCGGCTCGTCTGCTAGTCCATCCGTCAGTCCCGTATCATGTTAACGTGGATGTTGGTTTAAGGTAATTGACAACAAATTAAGTTGTGTTCACGTAATCTTGAAACCTAATTCACATAATAATTACGGTGTGGTCTATTAAAACGTTATGCCAAAATTAGTTGTTTAACCCAGATTATGTACATGTAGTTCCCTGAGCATGGAAATGCAGAAGTGTGAGCAGGGCATGGTGTTCTTTAGACTCATATTCTTTTTAAGTCTTTAGCCAGTTTGATCTGCATGGTCGGTGATTGAACATAAGAGTAATCACAATGTGACACGTGCACTAGCCCATCGTGACATTTTTTTTTCTTTAGGTTATTATTACCCGTTAGAAAATTACGAACTTATATGCAATGGTCACATGAAATCTTGTAAATTGGGAAAACGTGAAACTACTGCACTGTGCAGGTTGCGTGTTTTGATTTGCGACTAATGGTCTGAATAAGCAAAGGTCGTGCATGTTTTTGCGCACGTACAACTGGTTAAGTCTCACCACATTGCGTGAGTTGATCTAGTCGAGCTATCTGCACCTTGTGTTGTTCGATACAGTTTGTCCTTGGTTGTATGTCTAATTTTTTTCTGATGATTCTGGCATTGGTATTTTTTGGTGATTCCGGTTATGCATTTTCGTGCATTACCGCTTGAAGTAGCCTCCCCCCCCCCCCCCCCCCCAACACCCAACACCCAACACCCATATTTTCCGGATTAGTACGTCATTTCTCATTATACGATAGTTTTTCTTGATAACCATGGTTTATTGTATTTTGATTCAGTTTAGTATTTGGGTGGTCAAATATCGCGTGCATTTAATATTTGATCATTTGATCAGATTTAAAGGTATTTGTGAAGGTGCTTTATATTTATTTTTCTAAATTACATAATACGGGAAACGATGATTGTTGATTATATAAATGATTGTGTGTAAACAAATATACATTAGATTGTTGCAAGAGTTGTCTCCCATCCAGATGCAGTTGGTAAGATAATTCATTTTAATCCTATTTATTTCAGATCGTACTATGCATATGTATAAGATACCATACACAGATTACAGTTATGTGTTTATTAAAACAAGGGCTAAATCAAATCAAATATCTTTTGATTGTGATGTAAACAAATTATTTTTTTTTTGACAAATTATAGATGTATCATAGAATTGATTGATTGTTGGTTGCTTAACATCAAGTGGCAAATATTTCATGCATGTTCAGGACGATGCAACATAGAACAATCATGAATCGTAATTCAAGAAAATAAAAAACACATGAAAATTTATGCTGCATCTGTCCTTATTTCTTATTATATAGATCATAGATTAACATGTTTTAATGATAGGATTTGATAAAAAAAATTAATAATTTGTGGTCTTTGGGACGTGACATAAATTCATCCTCCCCATTTAACTTATTAAATAGATATTGTCTTTATAATCTGTATTTGTGTAACATTCCAAGAGGACATGTTGCCAAGTAGATTGAATAGTTTGAGAAACCTGTCTTCCCTTTGAACTTAGTATCATCGACCCTCCTCGTGAAGTTTCGTGAAACATCGGTTTAGTAAATGCATACAGTTTCGGATTAATGTGTCGGGTTTGACTTTTCAGTAACAAATGTCATTCGTTTTCAATTAAATATAAATCTTGACATTTATAATATGAGAAAAGAAACATTAAAATCACTTTCAAAACGTTAAATAACCCCATGTTACATTTCAAATAAAAATTTTTAATTTAAAATAAAATCCACGAAACACTATCACTTTGTTCAAATGTCAACTAATCAAGATTTCAAATCTGAATGAAATTAATTCTGACACAAAAGAGAAATATTTCAAATAAAAAAGTAACACAGACCCTTCTTTTTAAATCTTTCGTTTCGTAAAAATTGTATTTATTGATAAAGGTTAAATTGATAGACTGATGAATGAGTGACACGCGATCAATACAAAAAAAAAGTTCCGTTTCGTTTTGTCGAAATAATTTACGAGGGTCGAAGATGATTATCAGTTCTCTAATCCAAGGAAAAATCTCTTTTTTATCTGATAAACTATGGTTTTCTAAAGTTTTGAATGAAGTGAAAGTGGTCATTTTTTAAATGTCTGTAAGACAGATCTATTTTCTCACAGGCGATTCATTTCCGATTAACAAGCGAATCTTTTATAATATTTTTTGTTGTTCCTTGACTTGTCAGGTTAAAAATTCCTTCATTTTTACTTTTCTTATTTTCGTTTCTTATTTTCGTTTCTTATTTTCTTTTCTTATTTTCGTTTCTTATTGGTTGTACGATGCTGCGTGCACATGCGTACACTATTTAATTCAGTTCTGAAAGCTTCATGATATCTTGCATATTATGTCCCATTGGAGCACATGAGTCCATCTCCCGGTCTTCGATGATTGATTAATTGTTGTTTGATTAACGTCCAGTAGCAAATATTTCATAAATTGACCATACATTTAATAGATAGGTTCTTCAAAGTAGCTTGACTGGGATGAAGGGCTGAACGTTTAGAATCCCACTGGGAAAATAATATATGTTAGATAGGGGTGTACCTTTGCTTATTTTCCGTTTGAATTTTCCTTGGAGTTCGTTATTTTTGTTATTTTACTTTTTACATGCATATTGATAACACTATAACAGACAAATGAGAATTCAAATTCCTTTAAATTTGATAATAATTCTAAGTTAAGTTTAGGATGAATACCGAAAATATTTCAACTAGACAGCAGTCAAACGACACAAAAAGGCAAAAGATTGATATAGTACCCCTAGCTCACGAAGGGTCAAGTTTTGCTCAAGACGTCAAATTTCTTTCCTTTCCTCAGTGGTGGATTCGGGATGTTCAAATTTAGGACCGGAGGTACATGACCACCAAAACAAATAAAGGACTGCTCTTTAAAAAAAAAAAAAAAATTATTAAAAACACAAAATCTCGGCCATAACATCTCCGTTTGGAATCTCACCATTTCTTCCTTGTATTGTTAACCTTTAGTCAGGTCTGTTTTCGTGTTGCATGTCGGGATTATTTTTGTTGTGAACGCTCGTGCTTATAGTAGCATTTTTTGTGCTGTTTTGGCCAGCATATGTTTATTTTCTTTGGCATTGATTGCATGTTACTAGTGACCATGTGTACATCAAACAGGAAAACGTTCAATGGTTACATGTAAACGGAATGATCTCACATAAATACAAGGAATTGAATAATATGTATATTGTGTAAACTGAGGCGTTACTAAACGATAAGAAATTGGCATATAATATTCCAAATTACGAGGGATAGTATGGATTTGGTATGTCTCTATTTTGGTTTTTATGCCCCCGCCGTAGCGGAGGGGGCATTAAATTTTACCCTTGTACGTCTGTACGTACGTCCGTACGTCCCAAAATTGGTTTCCGTTCTCTAACTTTAGTTTGCCTCTTCCAAATTATATGAAACTTATACACAATGCTTATTAACACAAAACACAGATCAAGTTTAAATTGTGGTGGCATCACTTTTACCGTTCTAGAGTTATTTCCCTTTACAAATGGAAAAATTGCTGATTTTTTCGTTTCCGTTCTCTAACTTTAGTTTGCCTCAACCAAATGTTATGAAACTTATACACAATGCTTATTACCACATAATACAGATCAAGTCCGAAATTGGGTGGCATTTATTTTACCGTTCTTGAGTTATGCCCCTTTATAAACATAAAAATGGCTGAATTTTTCGTTTCTGTTCTCTAACTTTAGTTTGCCTCAACCAAATGTTATGAAACTTAATTACCACAAAACACAGATCAAGTTCAAATTTTGGTGGCGTCAGTTTTACCGTTCTAGAGTTATGCCCCTTTACAAAAGGAAAAATTGCTGAATTTTTTGTTTCCGTTCTCTAACCTACGATTGCACCAACCAAATGTTATGTTACTTATAAACAATGCTTATTACCACAAAACTCAGATCAAGTACAAATTTGGGTAGCGTACCTTTTACAGTTCTTGAGTTATGTCCCTTTATAATGTTATATGCAAGCGGGGCATCATCTGTGTCCGATGGACACATTCCCCATTTATCATTTTTCTTCTTTATACTTTCATGAAAGTTGAAATGGGGGGAGAGGCTCACTTACATTTATAGTCAAGATACGTTTGTACAAGAAATGAAAGATATAATATTTTCTATAATTAATATTATATTAGATTTAATATTGCACTCAATCAGTGACAATAATATAAAACGTGAGCAGGATTTCTATCTCCAATTGACTAATTTTCTCTTATAACTGATGTCGGGGTTCTCTTTCTCTAACAACTCGAGATCAAATTGTCTTCATATGATTTTATGAAATATACTATTATACAGGTGCTAAATAGGTAGGATAACAAGAATTTGATAAATTATGCAGAAAATTGATCCTTATATCCCTTTTATACTAATGAAACTCGACCCCATCATTACACGGGAAAACAGATGATTCCATTGTATGGTTGTCACAAGGGGTGAAAGATTGACAAAGTAGATGTCACTTTGACGAGTATAAATTACGGAGTCAACCCCGACCTTAAATACTGATAACTCTTCGATAGTCACTATATGACATGCA